TTTTAAGCCATGGTTGGCATTTATTGATAAATAATAATAACAATATTACTGCGATCAGTGTAAGTGTAACATGAGTGGATGCGTGTAATGCAAGTATTATCAGTAGGAGAACCTTATGTGTAGGTAAGAGTGTTGAATGAGATTATGTCACTGTTGTTATGTTCTGTAGGTGAGAAATGGGCTGAGGTGCGTGTGGTGCGAATGATAGTCAGTATGATAACCTTTGTGTAAATGTACGTGTTGGGTGCACGTGCGTGTAAAGTCAAATCATACAAAGAACGATTGGCGTGGCCTGACACGTCTGTCCCAGGACGTGGTTGGGACCAGTGTGTCAGAGGGCTGGAAGGAGAGAGAGAGAGAGAGAGACAGCCATCAGCACACCTGCTGCTTTTGAGCGGACTGCCAGCCAATCAGGACAGAGCTGAAAGAGACATGTTAGGAGGGGAGAAGGCGTACGCCCGGGTGCGTACAGTGGCACAGTAGGGAAATTTCAATGTTGCAGCGCACATACAGGACAGTAGTAAGAGACACTTTTGACTTATGTCATTGTCTTCCAAATTAATGGAAATAAAATAAATACAAACTTGTGATTGATTTATCTTGTAAAAAGTGTTCACTGCATGTTAGGGAGTACTTGGATGGCTCCCAGTCCTTTTGGTTGATTGCCGCCATCGCCGTCTCCTGTCTTCATCAGGAGCAGGTATCAGATAAAAAGACACATTTGGCTTATGTCCCTGCCTGTTAGTACAACCAACCGCACTGCAAAATATCACAGTTTTGGCTGTAATTCGGTAAAACAGGTTGTTTTGGTCAGGTGTCCATAGGCTTGCAGTTAGACTTCCGCCGTCTGTCATGGAGAGTGGGCGTGGCCGGGACGTCACATGCACAGGGTCAATTGTTTAGGCCTATGAGGCTGTCCCCTACTGCCCCCCACTCTAAAAGCTCCTCCCATTTCCTTGTAGAGCATCTCACATGTTGTCCATACTATTATGAGTGGTTTTCTCTGTTAGAGCTGTTTGAATATTCTTTAGGACATTCTTACAATAATTTGAAGATAAAAAATCTGTAGTGTAATGTCTCTGAATTTTTGTCTTCACTGGTCTTTTTCACTATTTGGCAACATATAGTGAAACTCTCCAACACAAAATGTAAGACACAAGGCAGAGTGATCAGGAACAAGGCATCGGGGCCAATCGCATCCACCAGCTAAGAGGATGTAAAAACATTAAACACGAGGCATGACTGTATGTTCGTCTGTGGCGTTACAATATAATCTACAACAGCTTGTCCTCTCACTGATATAGATGTAAAATTATCTGTGAGGGACTGGAGTCTGCCGTTGAGGACACAGCATTTGGAGTTTGTTAAAAACTCAAGGAATGCTTTACCATGTTTATTTGAGTTCAGATCTAATGCCACTCTAGGAGAAATGTCATCAGTGTCAATATAATCTCTCAAATGAGCAATATGGGCGTTAAAGTTGCCTCAAATTTATACTGTGTCAACGTCGAGTCTGTATAATAATGACAGTAAATGTCTAAAAAATAAATCTGCATTTCTACCCCACGTTGACATTTCAGGAGAAAGATAACATGAAAAAATAGCAAAACAATATTGCAAAGTGCTGTTTTCACACCATAAACAAAGAACACCATCAAAAGATGTATCCAAAATGTTAACACAGAATGAGTCAAAGACTGAATTGCGCGCAAATATCCCCACACTTCCTGAAGCTTTCACAGCATTTCTGTGCGTAACGCGATTGTGTCCAAACCAAGTGTATCCACACAACTCAATGGGCCTCATTCACGAACGGTTCTTAGGAACAGATTTGTACGTAAATCCTACTTACGCGGTTTTTACGAAGAAAGTGGCATTCACGAATATTTCTCGTAACCAGAATTTCACTTGGGCAAGTACAAATCCTACGAGTCCTCAGGAGCACTCGTACGCATTCAGTGCCGACATGTTCACAGCCGGGGTTGTCCTCTTTGGTGAAGTTTAATAAAAATACAACATTCCAGTGATATGTCCGTCATATCGATGTATGTATTTATTTATTTGTAGTAATCTTTATTAGTAATCTTTATTTATATACCGCCTTTTTCACTGCAGATCTGGCCTACTTTTTAATTCATTTTGAAATGAAATGTGCCAACGCTTTATCAAATACATTGGAAATCTTGCCGTGTATTAGTGACCCCTTCCTATTTATAGGGGGCATTTCTTTATCCACGGGCCACAGAACAACGGCATATATACTGCTGCTGCAGGAGGTTACTGGGTCCGCGCTGAGTCTCTGCGCTGGTCTCTCCTATGGATCTATACGGGTCTGCGCTGGTGTCTCCCATGGATCTATACGGGTCCGCGCTGGTCTCTCCTATGGATCTATACGGGTCTGCGCTGGTCTCTCCCATGGATCCATACGGGTCCGCGCTGGTCTCTCAAGTCTGGTCTATGCGGTCTCTCTTTGGTCCGCGCTGGTCTCTGCGCACCGGTCTCTCCAGTCAGGTGTCTCCAGTCTATGCGGTCTCTCCTGTCCGCGCTGGTTTCTGTGTGCTGGTCACTCCAGTCTCTCCTCGGGTCTGCATTGGTCTCAGCGCTGGTCCGCGCTGGATCTCCTCCCAGGGTCCAAAATATTTTGAGATTAATCTCAAAACATTTTGAGATTCATCTTTAAAATAATACATAATATATTTTTAAATTAAGCTCATAACATTTTGAGATTAATCTCATCATATTCTTAGATTAATCTCATAATTTTGCTAGTTCGACTTTATAATCATAATATTTCGACTTTTAAGTCAACATTTTATAACTTTATTCTCAGTCTGGCAAAAGCCTGCTTTAGGCCTGTTGCTGTTTCCTCTGGCGTCTGCACACGGCCCTGCAGTCCCTTATATGGGCATTAGTGGGCGGTTACTTATGCTAAGTACCTATGGTAATGAAGCACCGGGCACGCGCGCTCTACTTTCGAGGAAATGGGATTCATCAATCTGAGAGAACAGCTGCGAACAATTCAGCGGCTTACGAGTGCGTTGATGAATCCCACGTGGGGACTTCTTAGAAATCTACTTAAGGACAACTTGAGAAGAAAGTTGAGTAGTTTCTTACGAAGTTATTCGTGAATGAGGCCCAATGTTCTCAACTGACAGGTGCGTCTCGTTCAAACAAACAAAATCTGGGTTTAAATAATAAAGGACTGATGGCCTCAAGCCACAGTTAGTAGATGTCCACCCGTTAATGTTCCATTGAACCAGTAAAAAGTCAGTACTTACGGGCTGGGTGCAATAGTTTAATTCAGGTCCATGCCGCGGCTGTACTCCGGTACGCTTGATCATTCGTACATTTGCGGTTAAATAAAAGTCTTTTCCGACTGCGGTTTCTCTCAGAAGGGTTCTGATGATCATGCAAGATGGAACTTAGGGTGTATTCAGACCTGCACATTTGCTCCACTTTAAACGGACCAGGATTCGTTTGGAACTCTGATCCGAAGCTTTTATGCAGGTCTGAATACACACAAACGAATCCTGGTCCGGACCAAAGAACCGAACCGAGACCCACTTTTTTAGGTGGTCTCGGTCCGCTTCCAAACGAATTCTGGTCCAAATCGAATCAGGTCTGAATACATCCGATGTCGATCCGACACAACTCCAAGATACGTGCGCATTTTTTGAGCTTAACAAGCCGCAGACAGAAACTGAGGAATTAGCCACGCAGCGGCTAACTATGATGCTAACTATGCTGCTAACGCTACACAACAACAATGAGCCGTGTGCAGACCTGGAGCAGTGAGGAGACGCTGTGCAACAGGCTTATGGAGTTAGAACTGTTCACAGTATACAGTGATGTTAATGGCAGCATCTTCAAACCATTTGCATTATTAAAAGCCTGACACTGTTTGACTCACGTCTCAAAGAGCAATATTCTCATCATGTAGTGAATTGTGTTATTTGGTTCATACCTGATCCTCAGCGTCTGTTTGTCCCGTGGTTATTATAGATCCATGGTTTATCCACAATGCTGAACAGGGCCGTTATTATCATAGATCCATGTGTGGGACAGGGCACGGAGCGCACAGACAGTCTCCTTCGGCTTTCTCCTCACGCATTCTCCGACGCTGTTCCAATATTTAAAACAACGTGTTTCGCCTGCGTCATATGAGCTGCTGTTGAAGGTGGTTTTGGTCTAAAAAGAGCAGACATGCTGCACATACGAGCCTCCGTGAGCTCTCACTATCCAATAGGAGCGCCGATCGTCACACGTGTCAATATGTTTATATAAAAAAGTTCACTTGCAAAAAGGACAGTCTGAATACGAACCGGAGCAAAAGAAAAAAGTTTGGTCCGCTTTTGATTCGGATCAAGCAAGCGGAGCAAAGGACTTTTCAGGTCTGAATACACCCTTAAATACTATATTTAAGTTCCCTATAAAGAGCCAACCTTCAATTTTGAAAATGTCCAGTTTATTCCCATTTATTCCCGATAATTCCCAAAATTTCCCATGGTAATTTTGCTATATTTGGTTGATTGTTGTCCATATAAGCCCTGCCTGACATGTCTGTGTGTCATTGAGTGTGTGTGTGTGTGAGTATCTGTGTGTTCAGTCTCAAAACAAGGTTCTCTGGTCTTAAAGAGGACTGTGATTTGTCTGTTCTGAAGTTTATTTTTGAATCCAGACTCTTAATCTGAGCTCTTAGAATAATCAAAGACTTCTTCTGACCCCTGGAAAAGCCATGTTCCGGCTTCTTCCCTCTGGCCGCAAGACATCTGGATGTGCTAACAGCTTCTTTACACAAGCTGTTGTCAGTCTGAGAACTTTAAGCATACTTGTTTTTCAACAAAAACAAGTATTGAAACTGTTTTTGTTGTTTGACTTTGTTAGTTTGTTTTATTCCTGTACTTGTCTGATGCACACTGGGAACTTTAGCAAATGTATTCCAATGTGGTTTTACTGCAAATGGCAAATTAACTGATCTCTGTGTGTGTATGCTTTTGCAGACCTGCTGGTGGACATGCTGGGCGTCATGGCCAGTTACAGCATCACGGTGAAGGAGCTGAAGCTGCTCTTCAGTATGCTGCGCGGAGACAACGGCATCTGGGTGAGAACCATCACAGGCACATGTTTAAAACTTTAAAACTGTCCTTGTTTAGAGAAATCAGCTGGGATGGGACGAGTTTAATTTAAAAATACTTTGCTACCTGTGAAATGGAAGTCCTGGATCTACAGCCTCAGCCATATCCTGGTCTTAGCCATCTGTAAACTCTGGACCATGATCATTTCCTACATGTACGTCTGGGTCTGATCCTAGTGGCTGCAGTTACTTATGTTGAATCCATTCTGACCAATCAGCGAGCGCTTGAGGCGGGTGTTGTTGGTCAGTGTCGGTGATGTCAAGCCTTAAGCCCAGAAGGTCGTGGGTTCAATTCCCGCCTCTGCACCTTCTCCACCGACTCCCACTGATGACTGCTGTCGTTGTGTCCTTGGGCAAGACACTTAACCCCACTTTGCCCAAAAAGCCCCCACTGAAAGATCAAGGCTATGCTCACACTCAGAGAGCAGCTGTCCTCCTGTGGACTCACCACCTGCAGAGGGTCAGTGAGGGGCTGGTGCTATGAGACTTGGGTGGCATCTCTGATTGTCACCCCCCTTACCCAGAAATGGATTAAAGGGTAGAAAATGGATGGATGGATGGATGATAGTAAAGGGAGCTCTTCAATCTCTTCTGGTTCGGCTCCAAATATCAAGAAATTGAAGCTGAAGTAAGAGGAATGTTTAGCAAGTTTCATTCCTGGCAAAGATGTTGCGGCTCTACTCCCCACGGGCTCCGTTAGTGTCAAAGGATATGGCTAATTCTAGGCTAAATACTAAAGCTAGGCTAAAGGCTAAATTCCTCTCTCACTCGGGCGCGTTTTCATATATCACGGTAAACTCAGATCCAAGTTAACCCCTTTCCACCTGTTAACGGAGCTTAAAGCTGCACTAACTGATTTGGAGACATTTTCAAACGCAAGCGATAGGCTCCCTCTCTCTGCTCGCCCTCCCGGCACCCACGGAGCTTTCACCCCCCACTACCCCCCTCCCCCTCAGCCTGTGTTCTGTGCTGTTGTTAGTTCCGGAGCTAGCGTCTCACAATATGGAACAATATGGCACTTTTGCACGTGGATGGCGTGACCATAGAATGACAGAACCGGGAAGCGCGTAGAGGACGAGACTTTCTTTTGGATGGATGTTTTGCTGTGTAAGCAATAACGAAGACACAGGAAGATTCAGGTTAGCCTCTGCCGCTTGTTGTGCTAACTCAGCTGTCGGTGCTAACCAGAGACTTGTGGCTTTTCTCAAGAAAGCGGGGGCCAGTGGTCCGCTGTGATTGGTCACAATCTGAGACCAGAAACACATTCTCTCTAAAATATAATGTCACACCAGCACAAACCTGCGCTACTTATTTTTCAAAATGACGTATATCCCAATGTTCTGCATGGATATGGATTGCATTTTCATAATGAATACGAAAATAAAGTCAGTTAGTGCAGCTTTAATGGAGTAAATTAGGGCTGAAACAACTAATCGATTAATCGACGACTAATCGATTATTGAAATAGTCGACAACTATTTTAGTAATCGATTAATAGTTTTCTGGTTCACACGGACTCAAACAGAGCAAAAATGACATGAAAATGTAGTATTTTTGTCTGTCTCATCCAATCAGATAGCAGAATTAGCACATAGAGCCTGTTACAAACATTTACTTTAAGTTTACGCCATCAATACGTCCTTGAGTGTTGCCACTTTAGCTTTTTGTGATGAAAAAATATTTTTTTTCTACACAATTCACAGCCAAGTGATTACTCGATTAATTGTAAAAATAATCAATAGATTAATCGATTACAAAATAATCGTTAGTTGCAGCTCTAGAGCAAATCCAGACCTTAGTACAAAATGAAATGAGGTGTGGTAAGACTGGGCTACCTCGGTCCTGGATCTACAGCCTCAGTCCTGGATCCTTCTCTCAATATGGCCTCCATAAGGTCCATCTTTTTCCCGCTGTTTTTGTTTTTTTAGTGGGTATAAGCATAGAGATGTTCCAAGACATTCATGGACATCTCTAGGAAACAAACTTGACACATTTTTGCAGAATATTTTTTGATTTTAAGACATTATTCTTATGTCTGAATGCCCTTTATACGGCCAACGTCATCCATATGTTTTTGAAAATTGTCACCACTTTTAGACACCTTTATGATAAAATAATTAGACAATAGTTGATTAGAGCTGATGAAGGAGATGTGGAACTTTGGAACCGTTTTTGGCCCTGAGATTACACACAAATGAACTCTAAACTACGAAGACTGACTTGTTTCAAAAACTGTAGCCTCTTGAGACGTCACATAACCCCAACCTATTAACATTGAGCCCCATAGTAGATTGTTCTCACATATAATATTGAACAGTAAGCTATAAAAACACCTCGTAGTACTGAAATGTGTGTCTACCCAAAGACATTACAAACCGCCAAGCCTCCTCTCACAAATATACAACACATAATAACACATAATAACAACCACCTCTGAACCTAGACACAAGAAATCGCGAAACTGAACGCAATTAAGCTTAGAATATTTGCATTTTCTCTTCAGTCCTCTGCCCCCGGTCTCCCTCTCTGTTCCTGAAAGATTCATTATCTCTCATTACGTACCCGTCAAACCTGATTGGTGCTGCCATTTCCCGTTCTTAAGTAAGAAGTTTATCCGACTTTACACCAGGCTTGATTAATTGTACGGCAGACGGTTTGGTTTGTCTGAGTCCTTCCTTGGCGTTTGGCGATGGAGAGGGCTCGGTGATAGTAATACAAACGCTGCTATTGATTTGAGGGTTCGAAACAAGGGCAATTTGACCGGGAGCTTGTGCTTTGTTGGCGGCGGCTGTCATCGTTAGTGTGACACCGGATCAAAATGTTATTTGTTTGCGAGTATTGACGGACACAAAGGAGTCTGTCTATAAAAGGAGGGGCAGAATATGTCTGAGTAATTGTGCTGGACTTGGTGATTGGATACAGTTTGTGGTGATGCTAGTGGCATTTAGAGGATATGAAACTGAAATACTGCAGTAGAGTTTATTTACATGTCTTAGTCAGTCTCAGTCCTGGATCTACAACTTCAGTCCTGGATCTACAGCCTCAGTCCTGGTTCTACAGCCTCAGTCCTGGATCTACAGCCTCAGTCCTGGATCTACAGCCTCAGTCCTGGATCTACAGCCTCAGTCCTGGATCTACAGCCTCAGTCCTGGATCTACAGCACTAACACAGACTGTCTGTTGTGTTTTTACAGACTCTAACAGCTCTCTAGAATTGTATCGTTCACACAGGAGTCATTTCAATCGACAATGAACTTTTCAATTTGTTCTTCAATCACAAAAACTCACTCACAGGTTCTATTTTCTCTCCTGTGCGTCTGGTCTGAGTGTGCGGCCGCGAGCCAAGCGTCCCTCAGATGACGGTGGCAGGACTTAATGGGTATTTGCTTGAACAAGGAGCTGGTAACGGCTTCACCCTGCGGACTCCAGACCGATCACAAGAACTCAATGGCTGCAGTTTCAGACAATATTGAAAACCACCGTGAATGCAATGGTTTTTATCATTTCGCAAGGCAAGGCACATTTATTTGTATGGCACAGATCATACACAAGGTGACTCGAACAATCACACAGGGTTATGTCCTGTGAAAAGAGTGAAGATAAAATGTTTAAATTGAAGATAAAGTTTTATGTATCGCAAAAAAAAAAACGTTATTATCCTGGATTTGAACATTTCAGATTCATACTTTATTACTTGATTACATTGTCAGAGAAGACGCCAGTCTCATATTTTCAGGAAGATTGTTTCTAGATTTTAGCTGCATTAATCTGAAACGCTTTCTCCCCATGTTAAGTCCTGACTCTGGGACCAGCAAGAGGCTCCTCAGAGTCCCAGCTGGAGGCCAGTCCCTGTGCTCCTCAGAGTTGGTTCATATGGCACTAACATGTACTTTGAGGCCATGGAGAGACTTGTAACAAACAGAGCTGCTTTAAAGTCTATTCTCAGAGCCACAGGATGCACAGACCTTAGACCAGGACTAATGTGATCGTACTTCCTGGTTCTAGTCAGGACTCAGGCTGATGCATTTTGACAATTCTACAGCTGTTTTACCAGTGAGCAGCTGTACCAGTAGTCTAACTTCATAGAGACAAGGAGGATAAGAATCTCCTATCAGCACTAGACACTATATTTTACACCTAACATTCGGACCACAATGAACTGAACTATGCAAGACAAACCATAACAAGTTCCTCACTCTCAAAACAAGTTTTTCTCACTGGTTTTTCCATGAATGTATTTTTCTTGGCATTTGTCACATTTTAAGACCAGTTTTTCAGACAGTTAGGTGAACAAAGAGGCCACCATCTCTCTCAGCCAATCAGCTTTCAGCCCAAAGCTTCCAACAGTGACAAGTTTACAAAATATCACAACTTTTCTAACGAGATTAAAGTAGCATTTCACGTTATAAGACTTTCTGTTGGGACTAACAACGCCATTCTTTCTACACCCCCGCTGATGTATTTGCTTCTTCTTCTTCTACTACTTTTACTTCTTGCTAACTCTTCCTCAGGCCGATACTTACGACTCCTGCGTGGCTTTTTGATGGTGTTTATTTTACCTCTAAATAGGACAACAAGTAGCTCATTGATCACACACTGGACGACCATTAAGACGCTTGTGCCACGGGCTAGCTACGCGGCTAACGAGCGTCCCAGCGGCGTCCTGACAGTAAAACACACCTCCGCCACTGACTAATTGAATGGCTTTACAGGTCGCACTGCATTGGGACACTTTGACTAAGAATAGAAGAGCAAATTGGTACTCGTGGTGGTTTGAGAGTTTGAGAGACTGATTAAGAAGACAAGGCAAGTTTATTTGTAAAGCACAGTTCAAACACAAGGCATCTCAAAGTGCTGAACAAAACCAGATAGAAACAGTTGCACAAGGCATTATAATACATTTATAATACATTGCCTTTCATACAAGTAAAAAAGGGCAGTTTAAAAACAGTTAAAATACAAGTTGAAATACAGTTAAAATACTAAGTTAAAAGCGTCATGGACAGAGGAGAGTGTGGCTTTGACCATCATTACGATCATAAATAGTCACAGTACATAAAAAAGAGTAAAGATACAATCCTTCCAGTCCCTGTGCTCCTCAGAGTCCCAGCAGAAGACCAGTCCCTGTGCTCCTCAGAGTCCCAGCAGGAGGCCAGTCCCTGTGCTCCTCAGAGTCCCAGCAGGAGGCCAGTCCCTGTGCTCCTCAGAGCCCCAGCAGGAGGCCAGTCTCTGTTCTGGCAGTCACTATGGGCCTGTTTTTTCTTCATACAGGACATGTGAAAGTACCAAGGGACACAATCTGTGAAATTAACGGTTTCTGTCTTTGAAGATGGATATTTTTTCTCTGGTTGAAGAGAAATACTCAGTGACTCGGACTCAGCAACAGCAGCAGCAGCAGAGGACGCCCTGACCTCTGTGTGTCTGCCAATACTTCACATACTCTCTCTCCATCCACAAACTCTACAGCATCAATCCGACCGCTCTTATTTCCGCTGCAGCTGCGGGACCAAACCAAATGGAACCAATAAAATCTGTCTTTTGAGCAGCAGCGATTACAAAGACACATCATTATTTTCTTTACCAACATCGAAGGATCTTGTTTTATGTAGTCACCATCTCACTCTGCTCCAAGTTAAAGAAGGCAGAGCATGTTTCTGCCTCACTAACAAACAGCTTTTTCAGTGCTAATTCAAGTGTCCAGTAGCAGAAAAAAATAAAAATAAAATTTATCATTCTAAAAAGATAACAATAGTAATATTCAGCAACAGCCCTTCAGGTCACAGCAGCAGAGGTGGAGTAGCCTCTGGGTGGAGCAGGACAGTTTAAAAGTTGGAGTAGCCGCTTTTCTCTGCTCCAGTCCAAAGTAAAATGCTAAGTGATTCATTAGTATTTTTCAAAAAGTTAGCATTTCTCCAGTGGATTTTCGGCTGATTTGCTTGGTTGGGACCATGAATCCTCTCTGCTCTGGTCTGGACCAGTGCAAAACCATGAACATTGTACTGCAGCAACATCTCAGGTAGAAAAAAGCAATACAAATTGCTAAGAATTGCAAAATTGTTAAGCACGAAAAAATAACTGTTCCAGAGCTACTTAGGACTTGCTGCCGTTTTCCAGCGCATTCAAAAGATTCATTAGTTGGCGCATTCGTTAGTGTCTAAGTTATGGTTAATAAGCAGTTAATTGGTATTTATTATGCACTCAGTAGTCTTCATTCTACATGGCCTTATTCAACATTTAACTAGCTACTAATTGACACTTTGGGTTAGGCTTAGGGTAAACTAATTAGCTGTTCATTCACGTCTAATTAGTGCGGGGTAATCTAGGCAAGGCAAGGCAAGGCAAGTTTATTTGTATAGCACAATTCATACACAAGGCAACTCAAAGTGCTGAACAAGATAGCATTAAAATCATAAATAATTACAGAACATTAAAACCAAAGATAAAAATATAAAATCCCTCAGTTGTATGCACAGCTAAACAGCACCGTTTTTAACCTGGTTTTAAACATTGTCAGAGAGGAGGCCTGTCTCACATCTTCAGGAAGATTGTTCCAGATTTTAGCAGCATGAATCTGAAAAGCAGCCTCCCCATGTTTAGTTCTGACTCTGGGCACTAACAGGAGTCCAGTCCCTGTGCTCCTCAGAGTCCGGGCTGGTTCATATGGGACTAACATGTCAATAATATATTTTGGTGCGAGGCCATGGAGAGACTTGTACACAAGCAGAGCTGTTTTAAAGTCTATTCTCTGAGCCACAGGAAGCCAGTGCAGGGACCTGAGGACTGGACTAAAGTGTTTCCCATTTATTTTATCGCATTTTTAGTTATAATGTAAATGTTTTCATACTGCAGACCAATGTTTTTTGACTTGGGGAAAGGTTGGCGTGTTGTTTGGACTGTGTTGGCTTTTAACCGTGGGAAAGACAGACCAAAGAAAGGTTCATTTGGTCGTCTGTTAGATTCTACAAGTAGATTTTTATGTGACAGATTTGACTTCTTCCTAGTGGTCATGTGACGTGCCTTGTCATCTGTGTTAGACCATTTTCTGATCTCTCCCTCTGGTCTGTGGTCACTTCTGTTCTCTCTTTTGTCTCTCTCTCTGATCTCTGATGGTCTCTGGTCTCTCTCTGATCTCTCCCTCTGGTCTCTCTATCTGGTCTCTCTCTTTAGTCTCTGGTCACTTCTATTCTCTCTCTCTCTGACCTCATTATCTCTGGTCTCTCTTTCTGATCTCTCTCTCTGGTCTCTCTCTATCTGGTCTCTCTCTCTGGTCTCCCTGATCCCTCCCTCTGGTCACACTCTAGTCTATGGTCTCTCTTTCTGGTCTCTCTCTGATCCCTCCCTCTGGTCCCACTCTAGTCTCTGGTCTCTCTCTCTGTTCTCTGGTATCTCTCTCTGGTCTCTGGTCTCTCGCTCGGATTTCTCTCTGGTCTCTCCCTCTAGTTCCACTCTAGTGTCTGGTCTCCCTCGCTGGTTTCTCTCTGGTCTCTCTCTCTGGGTCAGGGTCATTGATAGGAGTGTCCAGAGTGGAGATCCGCTGATTATCACTATTTTATCTACACTTTATTTTATGTCATATTCTACAAAGGCCCTGATCCTCCTCTAGAGTCAGATCGATCGCCGTCGCCATGGTATTGATGGGGTGATGTCAGGGGGAGGACGGGGTGATTGAAGACTTATTGATCGCGGAGCCAGTGTCATTCCCGCTGCCTCTCGCTCTCTCTTCCTCTCTCTCTCTCTCTCTCTGTCTCCCTCCCCCTCTCTCTCTTTCTCTCTCACTCTCTTGTTCTCTCACTCTCTCTCTTCCTATCTGTCTCCCTCTGTCTCTCTCTCTTTCTCTCTCCCTCTCTTGCTCTCTCTCCCTCTTTCTCTCTCTCTCTCTCTCTGTCTGTCTCTCTCTCTTTCTCTCTTTCACTCTCCCTCTGTCTGTCTCTCTCTTTCTCTCACTCTCTTTCTCTCTTTCACTCTCCCTCTGTCTGTCTCTCTCTCTCTGTCTCTCTCTCTCTCTGTCTCTCTCTCTCTCTCTGTGTTTTGTAATCCGTAACCACTGAGATGACTGAACGATGCTTGTGTGTTTTGTGTTTCGTAGCCGCGTCACGCCATCAAGCTGCTGTCGGTCCTGAACCAGATGCCGCAGAGACACGGCCCCGACACCTTCTTCAACTTCCCCGGACGCAGCGCAGCGGTGAGACCAAACACATTCCAATTTAAACCTCTATTTTAAAGCTATAGCTGTGATTATATGGTACGTTCTGGACTATGAGGAGCACCTGTATATAAGCCGCATCACCTAAATTTGAAAAGAAAGTCAATTTTGTCCACATATAAGCCACATATAAGCTGCACTTGTATATAAGCCACACTTGTATATAAGCCGCCCTTGTATATAAGCCGCACTTGTATATAAGCCGCACTTGTATATAAGCCACACTTGTATATATGCCGCACTTGTATATAAGCCACACTTGTATATATGCCGCACTTGTATATAAGCCACACTTGTATATATGCCGCACTTGTATATAAGCCACACTTGTATATATGCCGCACTTGTATATAAGCCACACTTGTATATATGCCGCACTTGTATATAAGCCACACTTGTATATAAGCCGCACTTGTATAATAGCCACACTTGTATATAAGCCGCACTTGTATAAAAGCCACACTTGTATATAAGCTGCACTTATATATGAGTGTGTTCGCATTAAAGTGTCTATCAAAGTATCTGGACTTTAAAAGGTTATAACTCAAAAACTATAATTACTATCATAGATTAGAAAAGATATTTCAAACACAAACATATCAAAGAGATAGTGTGGATACAATCAAAAGAAAAGATTGACAAATAAATGTTTGGAGAAATGTTAAAAGACCTGACCAGCCTCTGATTGGATCGTTCTCCTGTGACTCAGTGACATAGGAAATAAACGGTCAGAGACAAAGATGAACTCCACTGATTCACTTCAACACAACATCACAAAATCACTTACTTTAAAAAGGAATCATTTTTGAAAAATAATCAATACAAATTTAAATGACCCTTGAAAAATGTGTAACGAACGTGTTTTGGTTTCTGGTCTCTACCTCTGGTGTGGTGGTCTCTCTCTGGTCTCTCCCTCTTGTCCCCCTCTGGTTTCTCTCTCTCTCTGGTCTCTCTCTGGTCTCTGGTCTCTCGCTCTAGTCCCCCTCTGGCCTCTCTTTCTATCTGGTCTCTCTCTGGTCTCTCCCTCTAGTCCCCCTCTGGTTTCTCTCTCTCTCTGGTCTCTCCCTGGTCTCTCTCTCTGGTCTCTGGTCTCTCGCTCTAGTCCCCCTCTGGCCTCTCTTTCTCTCTGGTCTCTCTCTCTCTGGTCTCTGGTCTCTCCCTCTAGTTCCCCTCTGGTCTCTCTTTCGATCTGGTCTGTCTCTTGTCTCTCTCAAGGTGCAAAGAAGTTATAAGAGTAAAAATATTTAAAGTCATGATATAAAAAATAATCATGAAATTGACAATTGATTGCTATGCAGTTGCCATAAGAATAATCTCGTCCAATCAGATACCTTTAATAAATCGCCACAGCAGGTTGTCCTGTGATCGGGACCATGTGTGACCATGTCTCATTAGTCGGGGTTAATGCCACAGTTACTCAGAAAGTTGTCAGCGCCTCATTATCGCTGAAAGCCTGAGGACCATATGTGACTTTAGAACCATGATTGTTTTTAATGACCGTGACATTTATCTGTGCCGCCCCCCTCCCCCCAGGCCATCGCGTTGCCGCCCATCGCTAAATGGCCGTACCAGAACGGATTCACTATCAACACCTGGTTCAGACAAGACCCACTCAACAACATCAACGTGGACAAGGACAAGCCCTACCTTTACTGGTGAGTAGCTCTCTGTGACACATGGTACTGGTGAGTAGCTCTCTGAAATATGGTACTGGTGAGTAGCTCTCTCTGTGACATATGGTACTGGTGAATTGCATACGGTAGGGACATTTGGTACTGGTAAGTAGCTCTCTGGGCAAAATCCTCCAGCACTGGATAGAGAAATCAGTGATAGACCAGAGAGAGACCAGAGAGAGACCAGAGAGAGACCAGAGAGAGACCAGCGAGAGGCCAGAGAGAAGCCAGAGAGAGACCAGAGAGAGGCCAGAGAGAGGCCAGAGAGAGGCCAGAGAGAGGCCAGAGAGAGGCCAGAGAGAGGCCAGAGAGAGGCCAGAGAGAGGCCAGAGAGAAGCCAGAGAGAGACCAGAGAGAGGCCAGAGAGAGGCCAGAGAGAGGCCAGAGAGAGGCCAGAGAGAGGCCAGAGAGAGGCCAGAGAGAGGCCAGAGAGAGGCCAGAGAGAGGCCAGAGAGAGACCAGAGAGAGGCCAGAGAGAGGCTAGAGAGAGGCTAGAGAGAGGCTAGAGAGAGACCAGAGAGAGACCAGAGAGAGGGCTCTTCCTGTCTCTTCCACATCTCTCCTCCTCACTCCCTGTCTCTCCTCCTCTCTACTTCTATCACTTTCTCTCCACCTCACCTATCTTCCCCTCTACTTCTTTCCCTACTTTTCTCCCTCCTTTTCCTCCTCTCTCCTCCTCTCCCTCTCTCTCTTCTCTCCTCCTCTCTTACCTCTCTGCTTCTATCATTTTCTCTCCACCTCATCTCGCTTCCTCTCTCTTCTCTCGTCCTCTCTTTCCTCTATTTCCTCTCTACTTCCATCACTTTCTCTCCACCTCATCTCTCTTCCTCTCTCCTCCTCTTCCTCTCACTCTTCCTTCTCTCCCCTCCTCTTCCTCTCTCTCCGCCTCCTCTCTCCTCCTCACTCCTCCCCTCTCCTCCTTACTCCCTCTCTCTTTTTCTCTCTTCTCCCCTCCTCTCTTTCCTCTCAACTTCTATCACATTCTCTCGACCTTGTCTCTCTTCCTCTCTCCTCTTTTTCTCTCTCCCTCTCTCCTTCTCTCTTTCTCTCTCCCTCTCTCTACTTCTCTCCCTCTTCCCTCCTCTCTCCTCCTCTTCCTATCTGTCTTCCTCCTCTCTTTCCTCTCTACTTCTATCACTTTCTCTCCACCTCATCTCTCTTCCTCCTCCTTCACTCTTTCTCTCTCCCTCTCTCTCTCTACTTCTCTCCCTCCTCCTTCCTCTCTCTCTTCCTCCTCTCTCTCATCCATCCATCCATTTCCCTATCGTGTGCCTAAAACCCTAACAAACTTATTTATTATGCATTTGAGAATATGTTGTGGAAAAAGTATTAAAAGATTATTTAATGATTCCACAATAGTGATAATTGTACTGTGGGGACTTTCTTCTCCGTATAATCTCCCTATAGTTCTGTTCTGGTGTCACCCATGGTGTCTGTACTGCTCTGCTGATGTAATCTCTGCTCCTGTTGCCACTTCACGACACATAAATCCTCCCACAAGTTTAAACACAAAGTTATTCCCTAATCCCCACATTCCGACATTCCAGGATGACAGTTTCTCCCTCTCTGTTTTTTGTTGTTTTTTGGACGTTATTTGCGTTGAGATTGTCGATAATCGTCAGAACGCGTTTACAGGAAGAAGGACGAGGATCGAAACGCATTAGTGTCCGGATCCCATTACGGAGATAAGAGCGTAGCATGGTTACGCCGTTTCTATAGCAACAGAAATGGTGGTTCACTGTGTTCTCCAGTCAATTTCACAGAATTGTATGAAAATATTTGTTTTTTTGTGATTGTGAATGGTACATGGATATATTACGGTAAATAAATACAGTAAAACACCTTGATGCTGATAATTAGAAGTCAAAGAGGGTGATAACCAATATTTAGAGTCAATATTAAGCATTCAAAGTTAAAATATTTCAACAACTAACATGTTGGATGTTTATCTCACAAAACAAAACAACAAAAGAGAGAAAAAAATAGGGAAACAGGAGATTTGAACAGATCTCCCACAACCAACCTGTTTCTGGGGAAATTCCTTGGTAACCCTGGCTTCCAGTAGCACTTTGGCCAATCTCTGTCAGTTAGAACACTTTAGTACCAGCTCGGCCTTGTTAGAACCAAGACCAAGAGGGACTAAAAAGGGACCTGGTACTGGTCACACAGGACCAGTGAAACACACTCCCAATCTGGGGAAAGTAGAGAAGAGCGGAGTTGCGTAGCATACCGTAGCTTAGCATACCGTAGTGTAGAGTAGAGCCGAGTGGAGTAGCTTCGCATACCGTTACGTAGGGCTGGGCGATAAAACGATAACGATATACGTATATTGCGATAGACATGTGTTCGATATCAATAGAAAACGGGGTCAGTAGAATGTTCGATAGTTTCACTTCACTCCGTTAGAAAAACAGGAAGAAAACACAGGAAGTAAAGCTGAGTCAGAAGCGCGCGGCTTTCTGGGGGATGTAGGCAAAGGCTTCTCGACCTACCACAGCCGACCACAAATTCTGGAAAAAGCAAAAACAACAACCGCACCATGCGTAGCGTCCATGGATCATGGTTCTATTATAATAGCCATGGATCTAATGATCGTGTTTCAGTGCCGTGTCAATAGTTATGCATGTCCGTGCGAGGAACAGCATGTGTGGCGCGGGAGAGGCAGTGGGTACAGAGACTCGATGCGTTCGGCAAAAGCAAGAGATTAACTTTTTTTGAAGCCGTTACGGGGATACAAGACACTCGAAAACAGCCAAAACGGGAGCTAAACCAGGACTAAACCAGGAATAAACCAGGATTAAACCAGGACTAACTATGGGGGAGACTGTTTGTGAACATTTGGCTCCAGCCTCATTCCCCCGTGACTGTAAACAAGGCTGCTAACATGTGTTAGCCAACACGACAAACGTATTTATTTAGGTTTTAAAAAGATGAATAAAAAAACAATCAATATATATCGTTATAGACCGATATGAATTACTTATATTGTGATATAGTTTTCAGCCATATCGCCCAGCCCTACCGTAACGTAGCATACTGTAGCGTAACGTACTGTAGCGTAACTTACTGTAGCGTAACGTACTGTAGCGTAACGTACTGTAGCGTAACGTACTGTAGCGTAACGTACTGTAGCGTAACGTACTGTAGCGTAACGTACTGTAGCGTAACGTACTGTAGCGTAACTTACTGTAGCGTAACGTACTGTAGCGTAACGTACTGTAGCGTAACGTACTGTAGCGTAACGTACTGTAGCGTAACATACTGTAGCGTAACGTACTGTAGCGTAACGTACTGTAGCGTAACGTACTGTAGCGTAACGTACTGTAGCGTAACATACCGATGCATAGAGTAGAGCCGAGGGGAGTAGCGTAGCATAGCATACCGTAGCATAGAGTCGAGATGAATGGAGTAGCGTAGGCTACCGTAGCGTAGCATACCGTAGCGTAAATTAGAGTAGAGTAGAGCCGAGTGGAGTCGCGTAGCATACCGTAGTGTGGCGTAAAGTGAAAAGAAGTATAGCCAAGTACGGTTAGCCCCTCCTCTTGGAATAAGCACCAGTAAGATTAGCTGGAGGAGAATAGTTTGACCAATGAGGAGTGTCCGCGGCTGTCTATCAATGGATTTTAAATAATTGCGTCCAATCAGAAACCTGTGGGGGCGGGTCTAACAGGCGCTCGCATTAGAAAAACATCTTTCCGTCTTCAGGATTGGAAAAGTAACTGATCTTGCCTGAAAAATTCCATCCGGATACGTTAGGGTCGAAATCGTTCTGCTGCAGTCAGAGGGCTGTGGAGGGGGTGAGGGCAGGGGGGACAGTCCTTATCGGTCTCTCCCAGATCCCGTCTCGGCGTGGCGCTGGTCTCTGCTGGTTTCTGCGGTGCTCTGTGGTCTGTGATAAAGCACACATGAAGCCGGTCTCACTCCAGAGGTTTCAGATCGGTGCCAGGACCAGCAGCACGTGTTGGAGATCCTCTGCTTTTTACACGGAAATGTCTCGGATAATCTCCAAATAGTGTGTGGTGTGAGGGGAGAGAATGAGAGCGGCTTGGATGTAGCAAAGGCCTGGACCCCCTGATGCTGCTGCTGCTGCTGCTTTGGTTTCTTTTTCTCATTCCACTGGATTGGTTTTGGATTTGGACTGGTCGTTTGTGGTACTTGAAAGTAGTGGTTCTCAAGTACTTTTGCCCAGTGGGATGTACATGACCAGTGTGGAGCAGCATACTGTAAGGACCTCCTGCTTTTCTGTTGAATCAACTAGGGCTGTAGCAACTAGGTGATTATTGAAACTGAATACACACATATATAGACTTAAATATGCGTAGAAGAGGTTCTAGAGAGAGGGCTAGGCTAAAAAAATCAATATTTAGATACAAATCCATCTGTTTTCTTTATTCGTTGCATTGTCACAGGAGCAGCAGTTTAAGCAGAGATGCCAGACCAGAGAGAGAGATCAGAGAGAGAGTCTAGAGAGAGACCAGAGAGAGACAGAAGAGAGAGAACAGAGAGACACCACAGAGAGACTAGATATCAGAGAGAGTCTAGAGCACATGTGTCAAAGTCAAGGCCCGCGGGCCAAATCCGGCCCGCGAATGAATGATCTATGGCCCCCGGGACATTGCCTGCCATTGAGGCAATGTAATGACCCCTTAAGCTCGCTAGCCCCCGCCGCCGGGAGCAAACGAGGAAAAAAATACATCTGCTGGCAATAGCAGATGTATCTTGAACTTCATAAGTCACAAGCTATATATCATTTTAAAGCTTATTTTCTCAGCTATATTTATTTGTAAGTGTAAACGATATCAGACTTTGCATTAAAAATATATAACACATAATATGGGCACAAAATAAATCACGTCTGTATTTGTTTTTTACCTTTCGTCTTCTGCTGCTCCAACAAATTAGACTTTTCCCCATCCTTGCTTAGTCGCTTTCTCTCCGTAACTGTTCATTGAAGAAGAACATCCACTTGTATTTCCCAAAGTATAATCCATTCTGCAGATTTAATCAAAAAACGCCCCGAAAAGAGGTCCAGACTGCTCTTTTACATTTCACCAAGTTTGAGCTTTTTTTTTTTTTTACTATTTTCATGTTCTCAGATGTCTATTACATCTAATATGTACAGTATGAGGATTGGCTTTAGAGCATATTTTATCGAGCCAACAGGTGTCACCGGCACTGCCTCTAGATGTTGAGAAACATTGAACCAGTCCGGCCCTCGGTGCGTAGCAAACATTTTTTTTTGGCCCTCTGATGTATTTGACTTTGACATGCCTGGTCTAGAGAGAGACCACAGCGAGAGAGACCAGAGAGAGATAGAAGAGAGGGACTGGAGAGAGAGACCAGAGAGAGAGACCAGAGAAAGAGACCACAGAGAGAGTCTAGAGAGAGACCAGAGAGAGAGGCCAGAGAGAGACCAGAGAGAAACCAGATAAAGAGAGCAGAGAGAGACCAGAGAGAAAGACCAGAAAGACAGATCAGAGAGAGAGGGACCAGAGAGAGACCAGAGAGAAAGACAAGAGAGAGAGCAGACCCATCATCACACCATGAAACAGACAAAGAGACAGCAGGTGAGTAGCAATGAGCAGGCTATAGCTGAAGTCACAATGATGACAGAATAAGTAGAAGAAAGGAGAATATAGGCAATGCAAGGCAAGTTTATTTGTATAGCACAATTTCATACACAAGGCAACTCAAAGTGCTGAACAAAATGAGAAAGCATTAAAATCATAAATAATCACAGTACATTAAAAATACATATGATAATAAAAAATCCCTCAGTTGTATGCACAGCTAAACAGAACTGTCTTTAACCTGGTTTTAAACATTGTCAGAGAGGAGGCCTGTCTCACATCTTCAGGAAGATTGTTCCAGATTTTAGCAGCATGAATCTGAAAAGCAGCCTCCCCATGTTTAGTTCTGACTCTGGGCACTAACAGGAGTCCAGTCCCTGTGCTCCTCAGAGTCCGGGCTGGTTCATATGGGACTAACATGTCACTAATATATTTTGGTACGAGGCCATGGAGAGACTTGTACACAAGCAGAGCTGTTTTAAAGTCTATTCTCTGAGCCACAGGAAGCCAGTGCAGGGACCTGAGGACTGGACTAATGTGGTCGTACTTCCTGGTTCTAGTCAGGACTCGAGCTGCTGCATTTTGAATGTACTGCAGCTGTTTTAAAGCCTGTTTGGAGTCTTTGGACAGACCTGTGAGCAGGCCATTGCAGTAGTCTAACCTACTGGAGACAAATGCATGGATAGGAATCTCTAAGTCTGCTGTAGACACTATGTTTTTGATCCTGCCAATGTTTTTTAGATGGTAAAAAGCTGCTGATGTTACTGATTTGATGTGGCTATTGAAATTTAAGTCTGAGTCCAGTATTACCCCTAGATTTCTGACCTTGTTTGAAGGTTTTAAGGAGAGAGACTGGAGGTGACAGATGACGCTCTCTCTTTGTTTCTGGGGACCAAAAACAATCATTTCAGTTTTGTCTGTGTTTAGCTGAAGGAAGTTGTTTTGCATCCACTCACTGATCTGTTGGATACAGTGAAGGAGTGAGTCCACTGGTCCATGTTCTCCTGCAGTCAGTGAGACATAGATCTGAGTGTCGTCTGCATAGTTGTGATAGGACACTTTGTTTCTGCATATTAACTGACCTAACGGCAGCATGTAGAGATTGAACAGAAGAGGTCCCAGGATCGACCCCTGTGGTACTCCACAGGTCAGGGCCATATGACCTGAGACACAGTTTCCAATCTCCACAAAGTACTTCCTGTCTTCAAGGTAAGACCTAAACCAACTTAGAGCAGTGCCAGCGACACCAACCCAGTCCTCTAGTCGCTGTAAGAGGATCTCATGGATATAGTGCTACCATGGTTACCACAGTGACACGCAGCTTGACTGACAATCTGTGTTTTCAGACCTAAAGTTGTATGTATTTCTTATCTACCAATCCAATGTTTGTCCCTCTCTGTAATATTGTATTTTTTGGTTTTTCCCATAGTTTTCGGACCAGTAAAGGCATCGGGTATTCTGCTCACTTCGTGGGGAACTGTCTCATCGTGACGTCACTGAAGTCCAAAGGAAAAGGATTCCAACACTGTGTAAAATACGATTTCCAGCCTCGGAAGGTAAGAATACTCAGATTAGTTTAAATTCTTCATTTTCCAACCGAGCAACAATCTAATGTAATCGAATAAAACACTATTATCTCATAAAATTACAATACGTTCTGAGTTCTCTCTCTATATCTATGTATACTTCTTTATTTCGGTATATAGTTATTGTTCATTTATCTTGTGCTGTGTGCTCCTCATTCCTACTGCTCTATACCTGGTGATGCAACACTGAAATGTTCCCACTTTGGAAGAAATAATCTTAATCTTATATCTCTGAATTGACTTGTATGCACAGTGTATGGTTGTGTATGTACTGTGTTCTTTGAAAGCTGCTAATTTGTGTTAGCAAGGACAGAGGGCCACACGAAATTACACCTGCTTGGTTTAGATAGTGAGATATAACATGTATTAAAGCTACAGTAGTGAGTATTTGCAACGAGATTTAAAACAGACTGTCAAACCTGACTCAACTAGAGATGATCGGCAAAGAAGAACGGTCCAAAATTCCGTCCAACAGAATCCAGACTCATGAAAGCAATTAAAGGCAATTATTTCCGGAGGATGTACAAAATATGAAGTTGATTTTTCTTTTGTGGTGCCTACATGTATGCACATGCCTATTATGGTTTGTGAATGATACAAACTTTATTTCACTTCTCAAATTTAACTGACATTTCTTATCCAAACTTTCTCGCCCAAACTTGACAAAACTCCCACTATATCAGACTATTTCCACATGTTGTAATTCCCCCACAGTGGCCCTAATAACTGTCATCATCCATTCATTCATATGCTAAACGAATAAGCTAACAAACTCATGTAGCAATCTTGTTTCCATCGTGTCTTTCTCCGGGGACACGCACATGTCTCTCTGCCTGGCGTGCCTGGGTTGCCTTGCACTGGTCCCCCCGAGCTCACAGACAGTGTTGATGAGTGGAGATAAGGTTCTCAATTAGGTCCGGTCCAAGTGCACGGTCAGCGTTCCGCACTGTCATGGCCGCCCCTCGTTCAGCTGATGAGACGGCCCTCCTTTGTATTTGCTGAGCCAGGGGAAACCGGCCCTAACAAAGTCCCCCACGCTTCCATTTGATCAATTTATTTATCTAACGCGATGCACGCTGGACAGTGTTCCGAGGGCGGAGGACTTTATACGTGTTGTTTTTTCCCCCGGCGTCGGATGCATCTCCCACTTTGTTTGATTTATAGATGGACGGATCCTAGTTTAGTGATTTGTCAACTGTGATAACGTCCTCGCTAATAAGACAAAACCAAATATAGACAGCCTGCGCTGATGGAATTATCCTTATAACCTTGTGTCAAAGCAGAGAATGTGATTAGTGGTGAATAAATACTGAATTGGTATAGATTTTCTACTGTTCTGTCCAGTTGTATGTTATGTATTATGTATTTATAGCCTTGGGTTTTGAACTGTGCAGAGTCTAAAGACAAGGATGATTCGGGACATTTATGGATATTTATGGATATTTATGGACCAATGGCTTCTCTGTGTTTGTTATTTTTGTATTTCCTGTGTTCGAACTGTTTGATTCTCGCCCTTGAATCTGTTGGTGAGGAATCAGCAACTTTTAAAATCTACACAACTACCTACCTACCTATACAATACAATACAATACAATACAACACAATACAATAATTACCCACCCACCCACCTACCTACCTACCTACCTTCCCACCTACCCATCTATCTATCTATCTGGACCCCTCTGTATCGGCAAGGATCAACTCTAATTATCTGTCTATTCATAAACAAGATCTTCTCTGGAAAAAAACATGATGAATTGTTTGGACATTGCCTTTGTTCCTAACTGTGTGTGTCGTTCTTCCTAACTGTGTGTGTCTTCCTTCCTAACTGTGTGTGTTTCTCTTCCAGTGGTACATGATCAGCATCGTGCACATCTACAATCGCTGGAGGAACTCTGAGATCCGTTGCTATGTGAACGGTCAGCTGGTCTCCTACGGCGACATGGCCTGGCACGTCAACACCAACGACGTAAGAGTTTATTACAAACACTATTTTATCGGAGGAACAGAGAGAGTTCGGGTCACAGAGAGGCCGCCAGAAGTTATTCAAGTCACCGCCTGAGTCTGTAAATAATTAAACTAAAAGTGGTGCTTGGGAAAAGAGAGGATTTGCTTTGTGTGTGTGTGTCTTATTGTATTTAAACTATCAGTACTTACAAGCATACACACAACTTAGATACTTTATTATAAACTGAAAACAGATTTTTGACTTAGCTACACTTTCTCTCAAACAACAACACGGTTAAATATTTTGCATTTAAAGGAGCAGTATGTAAAAATCTGGCCAAAAGCGGTGCCTAACCCTCTCCCATTCTCCAGACTCAGGTTGCCAGATATGCAGACGAATCCAGCTGGGACCATAATATCTGAATAGCCAAGTGTTTTGTCAACAACAAATTTATAACCAACACCTTTTTCACAAAGATAGAAATCCTGGTTCACAGACCTTTTTTAGTTCTGCGGTCACATGGTACTTTACCAATGAGATTATCTCGGCGCGGTGAGTTCTGGTGCCCGGATCACGGACTTTCTGATTGGTAAAACGGTGGAGGGTGGGACATCAAAATGAAATCAATAATTAGAGATTTAGGGGTTGTAAAATAACTACTGTTATCAGTTAAAGAAGTATTGGAAAAGAGCATGTTTTATTAATGCCTTTTTACAGATTAGGGCCTTTAATGATGACTTGACATGAAAATCTTACATATTGCTACTTTAACCCTCTAGGCGCCACGGTTGACTTAAGTCTAATCTTATCTGATCAATATGCGGTACTGATTAACACGGCAGATTGTGTCAAAATTCATTAAAACTCGTTGCCGCACAACAATTTACACTGTTTTACTCTTTCCCTCTCTTGGTATGTCGGTAAAATAAATAAATAAAATCATTAAAATCCACGATTGCCTTCACTACAAATTAATATTATGCAAAATAGATGGTTACATTTAGTTCCTACATAAACTTTGGGCCATCTTTATAATTTCTCTAATTTACGTAAAGCCTCTATCTCTTTTCATTTTTAAGTTATTAAGATATTAAGGTGCCAAAATTGAGCCTGTCAGGAAAGAAGGGTTAATTTCGTAATATTTATTTATGTCATCAGCTATTAAAGTATTTGTGTGTACCTGACTTGTTTTAGTTTGGTTGTTTTAAGGTTACTCAATGCTACACTTTTAACAGAGAGCATACACAGAACCTGGATACTTTACTAAAAACTGAGATTTGATTTTTGACTGAGCTACACTTTCTCAAATGAACAGTCAGATATTTGGTATTGAATTAATTCAGGAGAAAATCTGAAGTTAATGTTTTTCTGGGCTGTTTTAGTTATTTTTGAGTTATTTGTATCGATTCAATGCTACACTATGGAGAGAGAGAATTAGTTCTTTCTTCAGACAGAAGAGCTTTTCAAATTCATATGAAACACTATTATCACATTAACCTTGGAAAATAGAATTAGTGCTTAGTATTTTTCTCTTTAATAAAGTGGGTTATACAGAGCATACGTTTTCACAGATGTTGACCTTGTATTTATAATTAAAATAAAATCTCTTTCACCAGAAATATATTAGTTATAAAACAAATAGATATAAAAGAAGACTTTTGAGGACCTTAAAGCGAGAGACATAGAGAGACAACTGAAAATATATCATTCATACACACAAGGACACACAGGAGATGGAGAGAGAGGGAGAGAGAGAGAAGGAGAGAGAGGGGGAGAGAGAGAGACAGAGATGAGAAGGGAAGGAGAGAGAGAGGATCCACAGGTGATTGGCCAAATCACATACAGAGGGCATTATATATAACTGTGTATATATATTTGTACATTGCACACACATACACACATATCAGAGAGGAAATACACAGACACAGGGAGAACGTGCAAACTCCACCCCGTGTCTGGAGCTGGAATGGAACCCGGGACCTAGCGACTGTGAGGCGCACGCTGGAACCACTGTATGTCGGTCCTTTTAGTACTACTTTTTAACAGAAGAAAGAGCGAGTTTTGAACTTCTGCCTCTGACTTTTATATCTTTGTCAGAGTTTTGAGATTTCCCACCGCTCTCCTCGCCCTTGAACCTCTCTCCAGCTCAGTTTACTCTAAAAAACTACACACACAAAATAAAAAGCTGCTGTACTTTTAGGCCCCGGAGTTTTCTGCAGTGACACCAGTCCGGGCTGCATCCGCTACTTTCTACTTTCTACTTTTCTCTCTCTTTGGTCTTTCCTCTTTTGGGTGGAGAAAGTCCTGGACCAGAGTGAGCGATAGTGGAATGGGTCGATGGTATCAAAGGCGGGTTTTTGTGCTGACTCTCTGTACGGTTTTGTGAGAAGTTAAAGATGTCCGTGTCAATAGAGGTTATCAGTGAGTTTATGGAAGAAGACACAGGGAATGATCTGGAAGAATAAAAGGCACGGCGAGGTTATTTGTATAGCGCTGTAAGTACACAAAACAAGATAAGAAACACACAAGGCAATTACGAGCCTGAATAATAACAGGAATTTATTAAAGAGTGAAGATGCAGCTAAACAGAGTGCTTCCATCAGAGTGGAAGCCTGTCTCACATTTTCAGGAAGATTGTTCCAGATTTCAGCTGCATAAGTTTGAAATAACAGAGACTGAGAGAGAGATAGAGAGACTGAGAGAGACAGAGAGCGGGAGAGAAGAGAGACAGAGAGAGGAGAAAGAGACAAAGAAAGAGACAGAGAGAGAGAGTGAGAATGAGCAAGAGAGAAAGAGAGAGAGAGAGAGGAGAGGCAGAGTGAGAGAGAGAGAGAGACAGGGAGAGAGAGACAGAGCAAGAGAGAAAGAGAGGAGACAGAGCAAGAGAGAGAGAGAGAGAGAGAGAGGAGAGACCACAATAGACATAGGCCGACTTGAATCAAACTAGTTACAGGTCAGAGAGAGAGAGAGAGAGAGAGAGACAGACAGATTAGCTTTTGTCCCACATTAGAAGCAGAGATATGGTTTGGTGACTGGTGACTTGTGGATTCCCCTGCAGAGTGGATGGAGGGCAGCAGTCAGATGGCAAGGACAGACAAACTCTAATGAGATTGATTGTGTGATCCTTAATCTCATTACTCTTGCCTAAAGTGACAAATGTTACAGTGGGTTTTACTGAGCTCATTAGCCTCCAGCACAAGACATGTCTGCGCAGCGTGAGCTAATGACTCCGCGGCTTTGGAGCTGGTTAGAGATTAGTTTGGTCCTGGTTTGGTTCTAGACACTCGATTCAAAAGAAAGTCAAATATTTCTTATACTTGGCTGAATGTTTTTATCTTCACAATTTTCAATGAATGGGATCTCAGTTTGGTTCTGTATCTATCTCCGTGGGATTCTTTACACCTAAACCCGAAGTCTGTGGATGCGGGTATTCTTTCCAACCAAGCGGGAGCACCAACGCTTCAGGGTAAGACTGGACACAGCTCCTGCTTCGTTGGAATGAAAACCTGCAGCCTCACCGGTCCCTTCTGGCACCAGATTGACTCCCCTGCTCTAATTTAGTTTTGTGACAATGACATCAATAAAGTGAACAAAGTTAAAGGGGCTTTGCTGTTACCAATTATACACGTTATAAATCTGTTTATTGTATGACATTTTGCATCAGTGGTTCAGTTGGTAGAGCATTGGCCTTTGAGCCTGAAGGTCGTAGGTTCGAGTCCTTCGCGAGACCATCTCCACTGCCGTCGTTGTGTCCTTGGGCAAGACCCTTAACCCACTTGATGTGTGTGTTCATTAAACTGAAATTTGCCCACTTCTTCTTCTCCTCCTCCCCCTCCGCCTCCTCTTCTTCTTCCTCTTAGTATTAAAAATTATCTTTTGAGTTGACTTCTCCTAACTCCTGTCCTCTCTCCTTCCCTCAGAGCTACGACAAGTGTTTCCTGGGCTCCTCGGAGACGGCGGACGCTAACCGTGTGTTTTGCGGGCAGCTCGGCGCCATCTACGTCTTCAGCGAGGCCCTGAATCCAGCTCAGATCTTTGCCATCCACCAGCTGGGCCCCGGATACAAGGTAAAGCCTTCCTCCTATCACCTGTTTCTTTAGTATTCCACATATGCCCCACTGTATCTGCGCTCCTCATGCATCACGACACTTTGACAACCTGAAGATTGCATTGTCAGTGTTACTTAAAACGGCTTTGGCCCATTTGTTCTGTCAGCGGGAGAATCTCACGCTCATCAATCACTCCCAGACACTGCCATGCTCTTGAGGACGGGCTGAGCTCCTCATTGGCTAATTACAGTTATTTATGATTGCTCCGAGTCGGATTGTCAGCTGTGTGCGGTTTGTTGTGATGATGGAGGATCCGTGCACGCTGGTTTGAGAGAATAACATTCGACTGTTTGTCTGGAATTGGATTTTTAATGATGGGAAAATGACGGAGAGATGGTTGTGGAGTGGTGGGAGGTTTAGTTTAGATTATTGTTGTTCTTCCTGGGGTCTCTCTCCTCAATATCATTGTAGTAGTAGCAGTTTATTTTCTTCGGCCATTTGTACATTAACAGATCATTAGATAATAAGTGACAGGCGCTGAAAGCCCGTTGTGACGAAGTGTACGAACTACTGTCAGAGTAATCTTTGTATTTTACTCACCTGAATTACAAGCACAGTTGCCAAAGGGCAGCGGTCATTATTGGTTTGAGAAGTCCATTATCAAGAAATAATGATCGGATCAATGGAGTATTCTTCTGCTGCTGTGAGGAGCTGTTTAAGAAATTATGAGTAAATATTCAAATATTTAAATAATCTCCTCTGCCGTGTGCACGGAAAAGTAGGCACGGCTTCAAGACCAATCAGAAAGGAAGAAGGAGGGAGCTTGGGTTGTTTTTTGTCAAATCATGTACCTCTCTCTTTTTTCTGAAACTCAGACTATCACTTTAAACCAATAAAAAAAATGCTTGCTGTATCACAATACTCTTGAATTGTGGCCCAAATCTCGCATCACTATAGAATCATCACATTTTTGCCAATTCCCAAATTCCCCCTTTATTTGCCTCTTGCAAATAAACGTGACTGGCTCTGAAAACAATTATAGCTTGGTCCAAGTGCTGTTTGCATTTCATTTTTCCTTTCCAAACCTGCTGCTGGAGTTGCACATTCCTCCCTAAGTCTTCGATGTGTCTCTGTTTGGATAAAATGCAGTGAAATGATGCCTGACAGCGGCAAATGTCACGGCAGATAGCTCCAGACCTCGCAGTGTTTTCCTTTTGGCGTCTCCACCGGTGACAGCCAAGATTCCCCAACACATCTGCAGCTGTCTGCGTTGTGTTTCTGGCAGAGTCGTACGCCTCGGGCCACTTACGGCTTATTTATGAAGCTGCCCAGAGCTGTCAGACGCTCAGCACCACGGACAGCTCTGCCCCGAACCCAGGGCGAGGGTGCGGGACCAGCTGAGACCAGAGGGAAGACAGGCCGCTGGAAGAGTCTACACTAGCGGATTTCAAACTTTACACACTATGTACCACCTCAGATTTTACTCTGGAGCTTGAGTACTACAAGATATGTATAGAGAGATAAAGTTAGATCGATAGATAGATAGATAGATTGATACTGTAGATAGATTGATACTGTAGATAGATAGATGGAGAGATAGTTAGTTATAGATATAGTAGATAGATAGATAGCTAGAGAGAGAGCGCGAGAGAGAGAGAGAGAGAGCGATAGATAGATAGTTGGATAGACCGATAAATGGATAGATAGATATATAGAAATAGATAGATAGATAGATAGATAGTTGGACAGACAGATAGATATATAGATATATAGATATAGATATAGATATAGATAGATAGATAGATAGATAGATAGATAGTTGGACAGACAGATAAATAGACAGATAGGTAGATAGTTGGACAGACAGACAGACAGACAGATAGATAGATAGATAGATAGTTGGACAGACAGATAAATAGATAGATAGTTGGACAGACAGACAGATAGACAGATAGGTAGATAGTTGGACAGACAGACAGATAAATAGATAGATAGTTGGACAGACAGACAGACAGACAGATAGATAGATAGATAGATAGTTGACAGATAGATAGATAGACAGATTGATAGATAGTTGGACAGATAGATAGACAGATAGATAGATAGATAGACGGATCCCAAGAACACTTTCAGACATGGTTTGATTGTTACTGTTTGTTTTCTCGTATTAATACTAGTTACATTATGTTGTAGAAGCAATGGGGAAAATACATCTCCCTCCTTGTCTCTGCTCACAAACTACTCCACACAAGTTCCCACCCCACAGCGTCATGTAAATCCAGCCTGATCTAATATATGTTATAGAGGGAGCAGGGGAGATTGCACGCCGCCTGTAGTCCGCTTGCGTCATGTCCTCCAGGTGAGCTACTGCCACATTTCAATAAAGCCCTTCTCACGTATTCACGGCACGTACAAGGGTTATTTTTATTAAACCTGTCCTTGTGTAGAAATACAAAACACAAACTGAATAACCACCCTTCAGCAGCGCTATATCAACCATGATGCCAATAATTTTGAGTGGCGCTGTCTGTCTCATTGGTCCATAAGAGGCAGAGACTAATGTCCATAAATGTTGATAAAGATCATAAATTACAAACAATGACTAACAACTCATCTTGATGAAGATGTTAAGGCCATCGCTTTGGCGTATATTTAAGAAAAGAAACAAAACATTCAAGAGCCCATTGTGGCCTAAACATCTTATTGGAGCAGTATGTAAAAATGTGGCCAAAAGTGGTACTGCAGCCTCTCCCACTCTCCTTGACTCAGGTTGCCAGATATGCAGACGAATCTTTTGGTCAACAACAAATCTATAACCAACATCTTTTTCACAAAGATAGAAATCCTGGTTTTATTCCTTGTGTTGTCATTAATGATTTGAAAAACATAACAAAACCTTTTTTAGTCCTGTGGCCACAAGGTACTTTACCAGTTAGATTAGCTCGACGCGGTGAGTTCTGGCGCCCGGATCATAGACTTTATGACTGGTGAAACAGTGGAGGGCAGGACATCAAAATGAAAACAATAACAAGATTTAGGCGCTCTAAAACTAATTCTTCAATTAAGTTAAAGAAGTATTGTAAAAGAACATGTTTTATTAATGCCTTTTGACAGATTAGGGCCCTTTAATGATGACTTGACATGAAAATCGCACATTGCTACTTTATTATTGAGAGGATAAAAATGTATATACGTTCATTCACACTTTGGCCTCAGTCACTTCTTTAAATAGGTCGTTTCAGACAAAAAAAGTGAAAAAGAAAACCACAAACGGCAGAACCCGCCTTCAGCAGCGCTATACAAACCCTCATGACTCTCCTTTTGAGTGGCTTAAGTACGATCTAAACCCTCACTCCTGTATTTAAACCATTGTGAGTGAGATTAGCACTATCACATTTGCGGTGTAATAACCAAAGGCCTCTACGTCTGTGATTTCTCTGCGCCTGTGCTTTTCTCCGGCCTCTGTCCTGGGGCCGATCTCGTGCATGATCGCGTCTCAGTTAGCCGCACAATAGGCCTCGGATACCCACAAGACACTATTAAACGGATCAGTTGTTTTGTAGCCGCCGGCGTTGACGCTTCCATGGAAAAAAAATGATGCGATTGCAGGATTTAAAAGGCCAGAGATGAAGAGCACAAAGCTGCCGTGTTAAAGCTGGGGGATGAGAGTTTGTAAATAATGCTGTTTTGGGGTGAAGTAAACGGTTGTGATGACCTTGACTTCTTTAAAAACATGTTTTAGTTTTAGATTTAGAGGACATACCAAAACAATCAAGCTAGCAGCTAATTCATTTATTAACACTGCCCCTGTGTGTTGGACTGTCTGATTCACTTCCTGTTTCTAAGTCACGTCTTAACACACACTTGTTCTCATTCTCTTTTAATTGATTTTGTATTGTTGATTTTTTTTGCTGTATATCAGGGATGTCCAAACATTTGAGTAAGAGGGCCACTTTAGCTCTCCAGACAAGTCCAGGGGCCGACTTCACGGACTGAAAAACTGTCTTGACTTGCATCGGGCGGTTCTGAGCTTCAAAATGACCTATAGCAGAGCTGAAGTTGGCTGAATGACACATGTTTACCATCTGACCAGCTATAGCAGCATCAGTGGCAGAAGTGACACAATCAAAAACCACGCCGGTACAGTACGTGCAATTAAAGTGAACGACTGAATCCCAGTTGTGTGGGTTTTAGAACGGCTTACTACATGTCCATATTGGTTGAGCTGAAGTTGGATGAATGACACAGTGAACTTGTGTTTATGATCTCAAAGACTACTGTGGGTTAGCAAGGCAGAGGGACACATAAAATCACACTGAGGGCCGCAATTAGCCCCCGGGCCTGAGTTTGGACATGCCTGCTGTAAATAGTGTATTTTTTTTGCCACTGCTTAGTATTTTCTAATATTTAAAACTAATGCAATATTATTATTATTATTATTATTATTATTATTATTATTATTATTAGTTCCAGGCTTCAAGTAGTATATGAAAATAAAGCCTTCTAGTTTTTAGTAATAATGGTAAGGGATTTTCCTGAGCTCTCCTCGACAGTCCGGCACCAGGCCCCGCTCTGCTTTTCCACAGTAGTTTGTTTGTGTGTTGCGGCTCTCTTCATGAGTACAGAGTGTGTGACAGGCGTGTGATCCCAGGGACAGCTCTGTCTCTGCTGTAATGAGGTCCACGACTCCGAACACTGAGCCCTCTGCTCTGTCTCCGCCGCCGCTGCTGCCTCCTCCTGCTACAGTCCGTTACTTCTGCACTGGCTAATGACGCCCGTTTCCTCTTTTACCAGCTGCAAAACACACTATCTAGTCTTGGAGAATAGACCAAGATGACAGAAACATACAATAGTTACACAATTCTCCAATGCCTCCAAAATAACTGTCTTTACAGAGTTTTGTAAATATTTTCTGCTTGTGTTTTTGTTGTCTGATTTTGTGTTATATGGACTCTTTTTGGGTCTGAATTAAAGATTAAAACATAATAGAAAAAGGCCAGGTTCAGATACAGTGCCTT